TTGGAAGTCCAGCTCTTCCAAGTCCCCTGCTCCAGGGGCTGACTGGAGCCCCTGAGTTGTTACTGACTGGGAAACCATCCTCGGCCGCGTCTAGAGATGAGCCCGCGAGGCAAGGAAAGCAGGGTTTTAAAGTCAGCTTTAAGGTGGGGGCTGACCCGAGGAGTCCACTAGTTCTGTCAGGCCGCTGCATGGGATGAACGGGGAGCTCGCCTTGCCTCTCCTCAGCTCAGTCTTTGTTCTCCCATGGGGTGTATGTGCAGTTATTGGTTTCACGGGGTTGCTTGGCTGCTGGGTTGTGCTCTGGGCGGAGGTGAAGACCTGACCTGCTCAGTAAGAAAGGCTGCTAGTGAGAGCAGGGGCAGAATGACCCAGCCTCAGGGAAGAGGTGGTGCTCGAAGCGGGAGAAGCTGACCAGGAAGCTTGGCTCTGTGCCAGAAATGCAGTCACCCTCTCTTGAGCATTTGCTGTCATCTTAGTGGTGTCCATCTGTTAGCTCATTTATCCTTACAGGAACCCCCAGAAGTAGTTACTCTTATTATTCTCACTTCACCTATAAGAAAAGTGAGGCACAGAAAGGTCAGGTAACATGCCTTACATCCTACAGGTGAAGGGTACCAGGAAACCAGAAAGGAAAAGGCAAGGGGGGAGACCAAGAATTTAGGACTCGGAGCCCCTGAGTTTAACCACTTCATGCTATTCAAACCCGTGAATCATGGTTTGTTGCTGGTGATGGCTCAGGAGGGAAGGACCTGCATGAACTTTATAGGACATCAGGTTTCCTTAGCTTCCTTTCTCTGGTGAATTTGTTGAGCATCTTCTATATATAGTACACAAAGATGATTAATACACAGTCATACAACAAATGTTTTTAAGACACAATTTTTTTTAAAGATTTCTTTTTTTTTTTTAAGAATTTATTTATTTATTTATTTGACAGAGAGAGACACAGCAAGAGAGGGAACACAAGCAGGGGGAGTGGGAGAGGGAGGAGCAGGGAGCCCGATGTGGGGCTCGATCCCAGGACCCTGGGATCATGATGCGAGCCGAAGGCAGACGCTTAACGACCGAGCCACCCAGGTGCCCCTTTAAGATACAATTTTATTTTTATAAAAGTTTAGACAAACTTATTAGAAAAAGATTTTAGATTATTACAGAGAAGTTTAAAGAAGGAAATAAAAAGCACTTGTGATGTCACCATCCAGAGATGATGATGGCTAATTTTTTTGTACATTTGTATGTATGTATGCTTTTGCAAAATCAAAACCATATTAATTATTCAGTTTTGAATCCTGCTTTTCTCTCTCTTACCGTATTAAACGTTCATCAAGTGGCCACTAGTGCAAAGCAGAGTGCGAACTGTTGTCACAGAAGTGAACTGGGAGCAGAGGTGGGCAAACAGGGCAGCCGAGGAGGATTATGGGCCATGGGCCAGGGGCTGGGGGCAGAGGGGGCAGTAGCAGTTGGGAAGGGAACCCCAGGTAGCAAACACAGTAATGCAAAGATCCAGAGCACACGATCTGAGGCAGAGGTGTCTCACAAAGGGCTTTGCCAGCCATCCCTGGGGGTTCGAGCCTTCCTGTGTGGATGGTAAGGACACACTAGGGGGCCTTACGTGGGGGGAAGCATCGGATTTGTGTTTTAGAAGGACTGCTGTTTCTACACACTCTTCCTTCGAGTGATGAGTGAATTGGAAAGGAAAAGGCCGGTGGGGAGACCAGCTGCCGATGACGGGGGGCATCCGGGTAAGGGATGGGACGGCTTGAAGCAGAGCAGCAGCAATGAGAAAGGGGAGTCAAGAAGAAGGGATGATTTCAAACATGGTTACATGGTAGAAAAGGACAGGAGGTAATGGCTGACTTGGCGGCATCGCCATGGGACTTGCTAGGACCAGTAAGATGTTCCTGGGCACGACTTAACCAGAGTCTTGAAAAGCATGGCGCCGTAGGGCCTGCTTGTCCATGTGCCTCTGCCCCCGCCACGAGAAAGCGTGCCGGGGATGAAAGACAGGTAGATCAGAGCCACCCCAGCCAAGGACAGGACAGAGCTCCCGACGACCAGCGGTCTCATGATCGAGGCCAGCCAAGATCCAGCAACCCACAGACACACAGGCTGTAATAATAAATGAGAGCTGATTTAAGCCGCTGAGTTTTGGAATGCTCTGTTATGTAGCAGTGATGAACTGATTAAGAAAGGTCTTTTTTAGTTGAATGCTGTGTGCCAGGCACTGTTCTAGGCACTGGGGATGCAGTGCTGAACCAGACAGACAAGGTCCTTATTCTCAGGGAGCTCATGTTTGGGTGGGGATGCGGCAGAGGAAGCTAGAATGACCCCAGGGCCTCTGGCTACTCACTGGGTGCAGGGTGGGGTCACAGGAGGAAGACCAGTTTTGTGGAAAAGATACTGAGTTTGAGGTGCCTACAGGACGCTTAGGTGGAGGTGTTCAGGAAGGAGTGGGATACGTAGGTGTCAGACACAGGCGAGATGTCTGGATGGGGACTGGAAATTATCAACATAATGAAACAGGAAATCACCTGGACCAAAGCGAGACAGAGTAAGTGCTCTGTCTATTCAGGGGAGGAAGGGCTGTGGCGGTGGGGATGAAGATGATTTGATTCTGAAGGTCACCTGGAAGTTGGGTTTGTACTTGTAGACGGTGAGAGGAGAGACACAGGAAACATATGGACAGGATCTGCAGAGGCAGGAGGGAAAACCAGGAGAGCCAGCTAGTGAGGAGAAGGCTGAAAAAGTAGGCTGGAGTGAGTTCCTGGAGAGTCTTGAGTGCCAGGCCAAGGATGCTGTGGTGTTTCCTTAGGACATGGGGGGCCACTGAATGCTTTTGAGGAGGGGAGTGCTACTAGGCACGCATGTCTACGAGCTGGGCAATAGTGGGCAGTGGGATGAGTGCTGAAATAGAAATCAGGAGATGTGGATTCTAGGCTCAGCATATCCAGTCCCCGGCCCTGAGATATGGGGCAAACCCACTTCTCTCAGAGCCCCAACTGTCTCTCTGAAAAAATGGGAGCAAAACTACCTGCCCTTCTTCACATGAATCTTAATTTTGTAAGAACCAATGACAAAAATGTGAACGAAAGTGTCTGGAAGACCACAAAGCGATGCACCAGGGCGTGTATTTTTGTGACGAGGTTTGCTTTAGCTGAAAGATGAGGCTGGGATTCCCAGACAGACGGGCAGACTGCAGATGCCTCCTGTTCACCTCTGTCCCCTCTCCCACTTTGACAGAGGTGTCCAGCCTGGGGCCCACGGGGATTCGTGTTTTCGTGCTCTGCCTTCCCATTCCTGATGCTGCCCTGAACCCTCCCCCCTCCCCCCCCATAAACCCGCATCATTTAGAGAGCGCCTGCCCTGGAGAGGCCTGTGCCAAGGCTGCAGAACAGAGGAGAAAGAGGCACTGCCCTCAGGGAGGACACAGGCTAGTGAGGTGGATCAAGAGGGCATGTGCCTTCTAACAGGAAACAGGGTGGCGTTGGATAAAGGGCCAAGGGAGTCATCCAGACAGTCACCGATGGAGGGCAAGGAAAAGCAGCGAGGTCTGTGGGCCAGGCCAGCCTTCAGGGAAGCAGCTTGGGGCCTTAAAGCCCAGTGGGGCTAGAAGAGAGGAGGGGAAGGGAATAAGAAGGAGAGAGGAGGACTCTCTCCTCTGTCAGCCCACTGGTTTCCTCTCAACATTGAAACCAAACACCCAAACCCGCTTAATGGAGCAGTTAAAGACAAATGTGACCACAACGAGCTGCCACTTTACACCCATTAGGATGGCCATCATCAAAAAAACAGAAAATAACAAATGCTGACAAGGATGTGGAGAAATTGGAAGTCTTGTGCCTTGCTGATGGGAATGTAAAATGGCTGCCGTGGAAAACAGCAAGGCTGTTCCTCAGAAAACAAACATGGAATCACCATGTGATCCAACAGTTCTACTCCTGGATATAAGTCCAAAAGAATGGAAAGCAGAGACTAGAACAGATATTTGTACACCCATGTTCATAGCAGCAGTGTTCACCATAGCCAAAAGGTAGAAACAAACCATTCATGGACAGATGGATAAATCAAATGTGATACAGATAGACAGATGGATTGATCACAAAGGAATGAATATTATTCAGCCTTAAAAGGTGAAGGATATTCTGACACAGGCTACAACATGAATGAACCTTGCAGGCACTGTGCTCAGTGAAAGAAACCAGTCACCAAAGGACAAATACTGTGTGATTCCACTTATAAAGTAACTAGAGTAGTCACATTCAGAGAGACAGAAAGTCGAATGGGAGTTGCCATGGGCTGGGGAGGAGGTGGGGAGGTAGTGTTTAATGGGTATGGAATTTCAGTTTGGGATGATGAAAAAGTTTTGGAGATGGACGGTGGTGACAGTTGCACAATAGTGTGAATGTACTTAATGCCACTGAACTATACACTTAAAAATGGCTAACATGGTAAATGTTAGTATATGTTAACACACACACACACACACAAGACAAATGTGACAGGTAGCTTAGAAAGATGAGTGAGGTGGAGTTGTTTGAGAAGAAGTGGAGGAAGGCATGGTGACCCCAGTGGATGGGCCTGATGAGAAATCAGCTGGCAGCCTAGAAATGGAGGTGACTGGTGGGTCAGGACAGCCAACTCTTCCATTCGACCACAGATAATCCAAAAAAAGTCTAGGCTGTGTAGGAGACCCCTCCTTCCAAGTAGCGTTGGAGTGGAGTTGGTCAGAGGAAGCCAGTGGGACTTTGAAGTTTCTTCCCTTCCTTTCTCATGCCCACCTGGCTAAGGTAAGGAAGAGGGAATAAAGTAATGAACAGGAAATAGGGTCAAGAATAGGACCGGTCACCAAAGAGAACGGCAGAGGCAGGTTTGGAATCCCCTGGAGCCTGGTCCCGGCAGAGACTTGGGCTGGGCTTGGGAGGCCAAGAGGGGCCCCCTCCCCCCTCCCTCCCTCCCTCTCTCACCTGTCTCCTCTGTGTCCCAGCAGCCCGCTCGGCAACATGGCGTCCGCCGAGCCCCTGACGGCGCTGTCCCGCTGGTACCTGTATGCCATCCACGGCTACTTCTGCGAGGTGATGTTCACGGCGGCCTGGGAGTTCGTGCTGAACTTTAACTGGAAGTTCCCGGGGGTCACGAGCGTGTGGGCACTCTTCATCTACGGCACCTCCATCCTCATCGTGGAGCGCATGTACCTGCGCCTGCGGGGCCGCTGCCCGCTGCTTTTGCGCTGCCTCATCTACACGCTCTGGACCTACCTATGGGAGTTCACCACCGGCCTCATCCTGCGCCAGTTCAACGCCTGCCCCTGGGACTATTCCCAGTTCGACTTTGACTTCATGGGCCTCATCACCCTGGAGTACGCCGTGCCCTGGTTCTGCGGGTCCCTCATCATGGAGAAGTTCATCATCCGCAACACCCTCCGCCTCCGCTTTGACAAGGACGCCGAGCCTGGGGAGCCCGGTGGCCCCCTGGCCCTGGCCAACGGCCACGTCAAGACAGACTGAATGGGGCTGGTGGGTGGGGCCCGGGGCTCTCTCATGGACCCGGTGGACAGAGGTACCAAGCTGGTGGGGTTACATCTTCTGAACAGCACAAGCCCTGGCCGGGGACCGGCTTCAGCCCCCTAGGGCCCACACATACGCGACGCCCCCCTCACCCCAGCACCCTCCGCTGGGGGCGGGGCCGGGGGCGGGGCCAGGTGTGTTGCGGGGTGGGGTGGAGGTAGCAGAGGGACCCTGGGAAGGGTCTGTGGATCTCTGCGCGGCTCAGAGGCTGGTGGCTGGAGGCCTGTGGCTAAGCAGCGGCTGGACACCCCCCCCCCGGGTGATTTTGGAAGCAGCAGGCCCTGTCCTGGCTAAGGGGCTCTGAGAACGGGGCAGAAGGTGGGAGGCGAGGCCTGAGGAGGCTTTGAGCTGCTGCGTGGCCTCCTCCCTCTCACCTGGTTTAGGTGGGCTTTGGCTGGTTCCGTTAGGCAATATTCAGGTGCTTGCTTGCAACCAATACCTCCCCGGGGGCCTGCTGAGCTGCAGCCTAAGGAGAGACTGGGCAGCCGGGAGGCTGCTTGGCAGCAGTGCTGGTGTGCAAGGGCTGGAGGCCTTCCCTTGGCTCCTCTCCCCTCCCCCAGGGCGCTGCCGCTCCCTTGGTCTTCAGGGGGGCCCCCTGGTGCTGGATTCCCACCAACCTTGGGCTTTTGGAGGTTTCAATCCCTGTGTGTTCGGTGGCGTTTCCCCCTTTTCTCTTATTTTCAAGGCCTTTACCACTAGCAACCCCTTTATCAACGTCAGTCACCACACCCGCCCCCTTCCCCAACTCCCTGGCCAACACCGCAGCTGCCAGAGATGGACCCTGAGACGGACCCTGCCCCCCCTCTTGCGACCTTCCCTCCACTCTGTCTGCTGCCTGATGACTAGGAAGTCCCCTTTCACCCCACCTGTATGGCGGGCTGTGGCAGTGCCCCCTCCCCATAGTGGCCCAGCTGAAATGGGATGATACCCTCCCCAACACAGTCAGGCCAAGATGCACTCCCTCAGATCCACAGTGTGGACCCAGAGACAAATCAGTTTAGTGGAGTGGGGCGGGGGGCAAGGGGAAAAAGCATTCGGTTTCTTTTCAAGCCAGTCAGAGTCAATAGAGCTTTCTAGGGGATGGAGGGGCTGGCATCCAGTGTTGGAGACCCATGGAGGATGAGTGAGAGTGAAAAAGAAAACAGTCTTTCAGCTTTGGGAGGGTCTTTGGAGCATCCTTAGTGGGAAGGGATCAGCTGGTCCTGCCATAGCCCCAGGCCCTGCAGCAAAACCCCCTCAGGGCTACCCCCATCCCACCCCTCCCAAGCAAGGCTCACCCTTTGAGCTTACTCCTTAAACAGTATTGACCCTGCCGTGCTCACGGGCCTTGTCATCTTGGTTACCCCCCACTCCTCTGTGATGGGTCCATTGCTGGCAGTGGACAAGTGAAGTCCTCACTCCAGCCCATTTCTGGCTCTGCCCCCGCTCCTCAGAATGCAGCCTATGCCATGGTACATGGTTTCATCTTGACCACACTGGGACTCTTAAGTAGAAATTAGCCTTTCCCTTTTTATAGATCATTAAAAAAATGATAATACCACCTGTGGACAGAAGCTCCTTTTCCTTGCTCTGCTGCTCCACCTAGACTGTGCAGATAGCACCAGCCAGGGTGTGAGCCAGGGCTGGTGGGCTGGGGATGGGCAGGATTGGGAGAAAGGATAGGAGACTCTGCCTTTGATAGGGTTGTTTTGTGCAGTTGACCCTGTCCAGGACAGGATAAAGGGCATTTCCCAGCCTGTGTGTCCTGGCCAGGCTCTTCAAATCCAGGAATGAACTACATTCTGCAGGGGCCAGACCTACCTTCGATTTTACTGTGGCCCCAATTCCAGGGCTTTGGGGCATCCAGGGATTTGGGTTTCCAGAGGAAAAGTATTGTCTGGATTCTCTGTCCCCTCTGGGAAATTATTTCCTTGGCCCTGTCCCCAAACTCTGTGATATCTCACTTTTCTGGACCCCAACACCCTTCCAGGCCCCACATGTGGGCCCCTAGATGACACCACCCACCTTTGACCTCCCCTCCCATGATTGAATCTGTGGTCAGCTTGTTGATGTCTGCCAGCATAGGGCCTCCATGATTCTCAGCCAGAGCAAGCCCCTCTATGGCCCTTCAGGTCTGGCCACTCCAGATGTTGCCACATGGGCATTCCCTGGCACCATCTTTTCTCTGGGCCCTACAGACTCGCAAGGACGGGAGGTCCTGCAGTGAACCTGCCTGCCTGATACAAGCAGAGTGCTGTTTCTCTGCTTCATCCAGGTGCCCCGTGGCTCTTTCTGTCCCTCATAGGGCACAGAGTCCCCAGCAAAGGGAGGCAGCAATCCAGGGCTTGAGCTCAGGGTCTGCAGGCTCAGAATTCGCCAGGGGTAGCCCAGACTTCAACACTTGCTTGTTTGGGCATCTTCGCTTAGTGAAGGCCCTCATCCCTTAGTGCCTGGGCACCCTAGCTCTGCCAAGCCTTGGGGGTGCTGGCAGGAAGAGTCTGCTGACTGTGAACCTCTGGTGTCCTGGATCTCTCTCCACTGGACATGGCAGCATTTCTGAGGCACTTATGGATGGCCACATGCTGCCCTGCATGGTTGAACCGCTTCTGAGGTCTGCTAGGCATCCTGTCCCTTGTGCCCTGTCCCCTCTGTTGCCAGTGAGTCACAATGGCCTATGCTTCTCTACAGCAATAATACATAGGGAGTGCCCATGAAATCGTCTTGTCCTAGTCCCTCACTCTCTGCATGGGTCTCCTTGGGGAGGCAGTGCTGAGTGGGTCGGTTCCTGAGAACCTGCATTTATGAAGCTCTGGGCCGTGCAGACATCATCATGGGGGGTGCAGAAAGGAGAGATGCCCGGCCCCCGAGCTATGGCTAAGGCAGGGAGGGTACCTTCCACCCTGAGGCCACCCCAGACCCGGAGGAGCTGCACGTCCCGGCACTCCCACTTCGAAGTGGGCGGGACTGTCTCCCAACTGCAGCAGCTCTTCGGAAGGACACGTGACTGGTTTGTGCGCCCATCGCCTGCTCTGTCTCCATCCGTCTCTTTGTCTCTTCCTTTTCACATTCGTGCACATCAAATATACTGGTGTTTGTGTTCCAGGACTGGCTCTGATCCATCTCTGTTTCTTCTATTTTGGAGCCCCTTTTCTAGGGGCTGCTGGAGGCCAAGCCCTTCACACCGTGTTGTGCTGCTGATGTAAACCAAGAGGACTGTTGGGTGGAGCCACCCCGTGGGGAGGGCAGGTGGTACTCCCTGACAGTCCTTTTCACCGTCTCTGCTCTGACCCTCCCAGTAACCAGAATTCTCCACCTAACCCCCCACTCCTCACCACTAACTTGATCTGGTCCATAATCTTACTTTGGTCCTAGGCTGCAAAGCCAATGGGGAGGACTGGGCAGCTATCCAGATTGGCTGCATGGGCTCAGGAGATGAGCTCCTCTTGAAACAGACCAACCATGACCTGGGGTGTCTCACGAGCCGAGAGGGTCCAAGGGAGGAGGCTGAGGATTCTCCAGAGAGCTGAGCCACCAGAGCCCCTTACTTTTCATTATATCAAAAGTGATGCTTTGAAGAAACAGCTCTGCACTCCTCCCTGGCAACTCTTCATTCCCTGAGAGGTGCATTTGGAGGAAATAATCCCTCCCTACTTTGTGTGCCTCTGCTCTGTCTACTGTCCCTCGTCCTCCTCTCCCCCCACCATGCTCCTGCCTACTATCCTACTTCCAGAAAGAGAACGTAGGGTTCAGAAATTGTTCAGTCAGTTCAACTAAACCCAAATGGCTTGGTCTCCACTGCTACAGCCATTGGTTTTCTGGATGGAGCAGGCAGTGTGCTTTCTGAGTCATTGGGAAGGGCCCTCTGCCTCCCCCACTCCCTTGAAGGTATTCATTTCATTGACTGTAAACCTTTTCCCCTTATAAAAACAAGCAAGCATAAAGCCCTGACAGCCATTTACATGTTAGTATAAACAAATATATAAGGCTATTGCCTTAGAGCAGGTTTTTAGAGAAAGAGGCAAGCATCATGAAATAGGGTCTACCTTACGGAGCTTCAGAGAAAAGGCAAGAGGTAGGGCTCAGAGCAAGAAGTCCGAGGGGACCCAAGACCCTTCTTAACTGGCCAGCTCTGTCTGTACTCAAGAGTACAGTTTCCTTTCTTTCTTTTTTTTAAAGATTTTATTTATTTATTTGAGAGAGAGAATGAGAGAGAAAGCACATGAGAAGGGGGAGGGTCAGAGGCAGAAGCAGACTCCCCGCTGAGCAGGGACCCCCCCCCTGATGCGGGACTCGATCCTGGGACTCCAGGATCATGACCTGAGCTGAAGACAGTCGCCCAACCAACTGAGCCACCCAGGCGCCCTACAGTTTCCCTTCTTGATACTTTCCTTCTTCACCTCCTCTGCCCCACCCTCATACGATCCAAAGGGACCTTCTGATGACACTGCCTTGAGGCAAGTGCCCCAGGAGAGCTAATGCCAAGGACCTTGGCCGCATCTTCTGACATCTGCCCAGCCTTCACAAGAGCCTAATCTTTAATTAATAACAATGAGTGAATGACCATAACCTTGCCTTTCCTTCTGGGGTGCCCATCTCAGAAGGGTAGCTTGGTCCCCACCGCACCCCACCCCCGGGGCAACCGGGGATGGCTGGAGGCCCTGTGTTTGGTGAGAAGGGAACAGGTACAGGGAAAGGGAGTAACTGACTGATCACACCGCAAGATAGAGGGACTTGTCTTAGTCATTCTAACAACAGCTGCGGTTCTTACCAATGTCAGCACCGAGACTGGTACTGACGACTTGGACTGCAACTGGGCACAGCACTGAGTGTGTGATGCACGATCTCAAATGTTCTTCCACTTGAGATCTCAAATGTTCTTCCACTTGAGATCTCAAATGTTCTTCCACTTGAGGTGGGTACTGTTATTCGCCTTTTTAACAGAGGAACTCTGGTGGCAACCA